GTTTTTGATACTCTACGCTAGGCGCTTTTTGATCATTAATGGCAGGCGCTTTTTGACCCTTACATCTGAGGCGTGTTTGATCCTTACATGTGCAGGGTTTTTGTCACTCCCATCGCAGGCGCGTTGATCATCTACAGTGCAGGCGTGTTTGATCATTACATGCTGCAAGGCGCTTTTTGATCACTCTACATGCTGCAGGCGTGTTTGTAAATCTACAGGGCTGCAGGCGCTGTTTGACCCTGTACATGGCGGGGCGTGTTTGATCATTTTTTACATGTGCGGGGGGGTTTTTGACACCCACATGCTGGGGCGCTGTTTGATCACTCTAATGCTGCAGGCGCTGTTTGATCACCCCCAATGCGCGGCGGTTTGTCTTACATGCTGCAGGGTGTTTGATCCTCTACATGCGCGGCGCTGTTTGATACTCACATGCTGCAGGCGCTGTTTGATCACCCCAATGCTGCAGGCGCTGTTTGATCACCACTGCTGCGGCGTGTTTATACTCACATGCTGCGGCCTTTTTGATCACCCACAGCTGCAGGCGCTGTTTGATCACTCTTTGCTGCGGCGTGTTTGATCACTACATGCTGCAGGCGCTGTTTGATCATCACATGTGCAGGCGCTTTTTGACACTCAATGCTGCGGCGCTGTTTGATCACTCTACTGCTGCAGGCGCTTTTGATCACTCTACATGCTGGGCGTGTTTGACCCAAGGGAAGAACTATTCATTTTAATTTTTTATTAGTAAAATTTAGTTGTGATTAGTTAACACACCACACACACACACCACACAACACCCACACACCACACACACACAAAAACCCACACACCCCACACACACACACACACACAGAAGGAATTTTCGGAATTGCCCCTATTTGCAGCTTAATGAGGAGAATTCAGTCGGGGGAGGAAAAGGCAAGATTACAGGGGACGGGGACGGGCGCAGGCCTGGTCCAGAAAAGGGCCCCTGGAGTTAAACCCTCCCCAAAGTGAAAATCATGAAGAGGGGGGAAGGAAAAGTAGATTGCAGAAGAGTGCATTTAAAGGGAGCCAAAGACTAAAACCCCTCGCTCAAGGAAAAGGATCTTAGGGTGTGTATAATATTTAGCAAACTCTTGAGGCGCACATCAAAAAAATAAATTTCGCAGCACAGCCGACTACTAAACCAGGGAAAAATTCCGACAAATAGTAAGGATCGTTCCGGGCTGTACACCGTGTACGTTGGCCCATTTTGGAGTAGCAGCACCCGTTGGGAACCCCCACCTGGGCCCAAGTACGTCAATAAATTAAGGGAAAAGGAAATTGGAAAAGACCCCGGGGGAAAAAGGGAAGGGGGGGGAAGAGAGAATGGAAAGTTAAAATATAAAAAAGAAAATTTCAAGGGAAACTGAGAAGGTTTTTTAAAGGAAGAAACGGAAAAATGAACTGAAGACTCGAGAGTACGGGGTTTTTAAGAAAAATTTTTCAGTCTTGAGTTCCGGAAATAAAAGTTCAGGAAAGGGGAAAAAGGTGGGGAGTCCTAAAAGTTCAAGAAGAGGTTGAAAGTCATGGGCAGGAGAAAAGTGGGGCCCAGTGAAAAAGTGAAGAGGCGGGGGCCAGGGGAGGTATGAAAAACCCTGCAACCACAATAAATTATGGGCCCACAAATTCACATGAACCTAGTAAAGATTTTCCCATATTTGTACAAGTGCTCATTCTTCAAGATGGGGTGCCTTCAGAAATCTAGCTCCCGGGGAGAACAGGAGAGTGAAAGCCCATTTAATGGAAAAAAAGATTTTTCCCGAAATGCTTGTAGCGAAACAGTGAAGAGTGGAAGGGGAAGAGCATCGAGACGTGATCGGTTTTCACCAAAAAAAGAATATAAATACCTGAAAATTATTATATGGGGGGAAAAAAATTTGGGGCGGTGATCAGGTGCTACTAATTTAGTACCTTTTTGAAGAGAGGAATAGACGACAGGAATGAGTAATAGATAATGGGACTACAGATAATGGAAGAAAACAAGCAGGAGAAAAAGAGAGTGCATGATTTAACTTATAATGCAGAGGGGCAAAGGAGAGGAGCAAGATGTTAGAGAAGAAATGCAGAACAAATTAAAATGCAGAAAACTGAGAGACATGCAGGAGAACTAGAAATTAATACACAAGAATAAGATGGGCAGCTGAAAGTTTGATGATAAAGAATCCAAAGCTAAAACTGAACCATTGTTACCGGAAAGTTCCACAAGTTGAAACAGGGAACTTGTGAGGGAAAAGGTGATAGTTTGTAGAGATGATATATGAGTAACTTGTAAAGATACGAAAATATTACGAAAGTGTCTCTTTTATCAACTTGTCGGTTTTCTAAATCATTTATACAAATGGAGGAAGAAGTGCTGAAGGAGAATAACAGAAATATGTGAAGTGACTTTACAGTGTATAATTATTCAAATTGTAGTTGATGTGTGAATAATCTTCCAGTGTACATTGTGTTCGTCATTTTGGAGGCGATTACTAACACTCTCTCAGTGCTAACAAAGTGGCTTCCCAGTCCACCTTAGTAACACTTTATTGCATATTTAAAATAATTCTTGAAAGACACAGTTCAATTATCTTAACAATATATTGAGCTTATGGTTGATTCAGATATTTAACCTGCTTAAATTAATATGTAAATAAAGTTATTTACATATAACTATCTATATCATTGTTCTCCTGGTTTTACTGAACTCTGATCAGTAGTGTTGAGGTTTGTGGTGTCAGTGACTTAAGTTTACTGTTGTGTTATTACTGCCAACACACTGGCTAGTGTAGGTAACTTGTCTAGATATATTATCTTGTTACTGTTCGCAAGTAATAACCACCACCACCACTACCACTATCACCCACCACCATCACAACTACTACTACTATTACCACCATCACTACCAATCATCACTACTACCAGTCACCACCACCATCACTATCACCACTACCACCACTACCACCACTGCCACCGCTACCACCACTACCACCACTACCCAACCACCACCACTATCCCACCACCAGCGCCACCACCAACCACCACCACACCACAACCAACCACCATCACCACTACCACCACTACTTCTATTGCTATTACTACTACCACTATCACCTCCAACCAAAACCACCACCACTACTACTACTACCCACGACCACCACCAACACCATCACAACTACTACTACTGTTACTATTACCACCATCACTACCAATCATCACTACTACCAGTCACCACCACCACCACTATCACCACTACCACCACGCATCACTACCACATGCCACCACTACCACCACTACCCAACCACCACCACTATCCCACCACCAGCGCCACCACCAACCACCACCACCACCACCACCACACCAACCACCATCACCACTACCACCACTACTTCTATTACTATTACTACTACCACTATCACCTCCAACCAAAACCACCACCTACTACCACTACTACTACTACTACTTACCCACCACCACCACCAACTACTACCACTACACCTATTACTATTACTACTACCACTATCACCTCCAACCAAAACCACCACCAGCACTACTACTACTACCCACCACCACCACCAACACCAACTACTACCACTATCACCCTCCAACCAAAACCACCACCACACTACATACTACCCACCACCACCACCAACACCAACTACTACCACTATCATCCACCAATCAAACCACACACTACTACTACACCCAACCACCACCACCACGATCCCACCACAGCGCCACCACCACCACCACCACCAACCACCACCTCAACCCCACCACCACCGCCACACCAACCACCACCCACCACCGCCACAACCAACCACCATCACCACTACACCACTACTTCTATTACTAATTACTACTACCACTATCACCTCCAACCAAAACCTCCACCACTACTACTACTACTACCCACCACCACCACCAACCACCACCACCGCTACCACTACTACCCCAGCACCACCACCATTACTACTACTACTACCACCATCGCCACCACTACTACTTCTATCAATGCTACTACTACAACTACTACTACAGCTACTACTACAGCTACTACTACAACTGCCACTTGCATTACTATTACTACTATTTCTGCTGCTACCACTATTACCACTTACTACTACTACCACTACTACTACTACTACTACTACTACTACTACTACTACTACTACTACTACTGACACTGCTACCACTATCACCCATAGTACTACCACCATCCTGTTTTCTCTGTATTTCCCCAGTAGCCAGGTTTAGTGTGTTTTATCAATACACCTTCGTGTTTGTGGGTCATGTTTTATCTTGATTTAGGCTGTCATGTTTACAGGCCAGTGGCAACCTTCTCCTCTCCTAATGTTTAAATGTTTTACAGTGGACTAAACATCTTGTTGTTAACTGTTCTTGTTGTGTTTAACGGTTGTTAACTGACCTTGTTGCATTTGCTTGTGTTTACATGTTTTATTCGCAGCAGAGGAGCGGTGTGTAGATGGAAGATAATGTATTGTTGTATGAAATACAGCCTGTAGTGGTGCGTCGATGCTGTTGAAGAGCTCTTGATTCAAGGGAAGCGGAGCTACCTGACACTTCCACGGTTCAGAGCAGATTGCCTCCCATTCTCATGCCTCTCTGTGACCCTCTGTGACCCCTTACAGGTTTAGCGGTTTACAATAATAATAATAATAAAATTAACAACAGCAAAAATAAAGTTTTGATATAAGGATGTGCTTAAAGAAATTATTTAAGGTAATTATCACAATTAATTTCATTACTTGAGACGAGTTACCTTGATGACATTTATGAACGCTGCTGCTGCTGCTGCTGTTGCTGTTGCTGTTGTCGCTATTGCTGCTGTTGTTGTTGTTGCTGTTGCTGCTGTTGCTGTTGTCGCTGTTGCTGCTGCTGCTGTTGTCGCTGTTGCTGCTGTTGTTGTTGTTGTTGCTGCTGCTGTTGTCGCTATTGCTGCTGTTGCTGTTGCTGATGTTGCTGTTGCTGTTGTCGCTATTGCTGCTGTTGCTGTTGCTGCTGCTGCTGTTGCTGTTGTCGCTGTTGCTGCTGTTACTGTTGCTGCTGCTGATGCTGTTGTCGCTATTGCTGCTGTTGCTGTTGTCGCTGTCGCTGCTGTTGCTGTTGTCGCTATTGCTGCTGTTGTTGTTGTCGCTATTGCTGCTGTTGTTGCTGCTGCTGCTGCTGTTGCTGCTGTTGCTGCTGTTGTTGCTGTTGCTGCTGTTGCTGCTGCTGCTGCTGTTGTTGTCGCTATTGCTGTTGCTGTTGCAGCTGCGTTGCTGTTGCTGCTGCTGTTGTCGCTGTTGCTGCTGTTGCTGTTGCTGCTGCTGCTGCTGTTGCTGTTGTCGCTGTTGCTGCTGTTGCTGTTGTCGCTATTGCTGCTGTTGTTGTTGCTGCTGCTGCTGCTGCTGCTGTTGTCGCAATTGCTGCTGTTGCTGTTGCTGCTGCTGTTGCTGTTGTCGCTGTTGCTGCTGTTGCTGCTGCTGCTGCTGCTGTTGTCGCTATTGCTGCTGTTGCTGTTGCTGATGTCGCTATTGCTGCTGTTGTTGCTGCTGTTGCTGCTGCTGCTGTTGCTGTTGTCGCTATTGCTGCTGCTGTTGCTGTCGCTGCTGTTGCTGCTGCTGCTGTTGCCGCTGTTGTTGCAGCTGCTGATGCTGCTGTTGTTGTTGCTGCTGATGCTGCTGTTGTTGCTGCTTTTGTTGCTGTTGCTGTTGCTGTTTTTGCTGCCGATGCTGTTGATGCTGCTTTTACTGATGCTGCTGCTGCTGTCACACTGACAATTACTGTATTATATAATTATATTTATATAACTAGATGTATTTCAGTGGCTGTGTGATGCCAAGAAATTATCCCAGCGTTCCACAACCCCAGTCTCTTGTGTCTCAGTGCACGAGACTGGAATAGTGCAGAGTGCGGCATAAGTTGACAATACAGTTAATATTTGTGTTGATAATTTGAAGGGAATCAGAAGAGACATTCATAAGTTATCATTTGAAAACTAAAATTCAATTTTTTTCAGTAAAAATGGCAAATTAGAACATAGCCCAAATCTAATTAAAACGTTCCAAAAGATCAAAATCCTAAACTACACAAGACCATCAAGATTGAAGCAGCTTACAAGTTGTATTATTAAGTTATCATGATGGAAAACTTGAAGCTAATCAGATGCGACACTCAGAAATTATCACATGAAAAGAGTTATTTAATTTTTTCCAGGTTTTTTTTAAAAAAAAATGGGAACTATTGTGGCCAAAATTAATTCAGACTTTACGTAAGACTGACCAGCTGTTATAGCAGCACACACAAAGTTTTATTTAAGATTAATGTACATAACATACAACTTTTTAAGGCTGTTCTTGAGGACTGACTGATGTTATAGACACATAAAAGAACATTAAGTTAATTTAACTTAAGATAACTAAATAAAGTCAAACACTGAGACTTATTTATAATAAAACTTACACAAGATAACTTACACAAGATAACTTACACAAGATAACTTACACAAGATAACTTACACAAGATAACTTACACAAGATAACTTACACAAGATAACTTACACAAGATAACTTACACAAGATAACTTACACAAGATAACTTACATAAGATAACATCAACAGATTGTTTATTCTGGAAAAAAAACACACAACACTAAAATTTGAAGCCGACTACAAAGAATCATTTTCCAGTGTTGCTCAGAATCCAACAAATTTGTGCCTACACGACTAAACCCATCAATCTTCATCCATACGTACACAAGTCATTACACGTTGAACTTGATGTCTTCACTAAAGTTATATTTCAGTCAGTTAAAGAACTATACCGTAGGGTACCATATACCGCCTGAGGAATAGAAGCTTTAAATCGATGAAAGCACATGATAAGACAAATCCACTCACTTGGAACAAGAGTCCTACCAAGTATCAGGGCAAATAAGCCTGGCAAAATGGCTTCACAAATCCATAATAAGTATCTCCACCATCACACGTCTCCACCCATACACTGTCTCACCATCACACATGTACTCCACCCATCACTCTGTCTCCACCCATCAACACTAAATCTCCACCCATCACACTGCCTCCATCCATGTTGCCGATCCAACAAAAACTGTCCTACACACCCATCACACTTCTCCACCATCACACTGTCTCCACCTTCACACTGTCTCCACCCATCACACTTCTCCACCCATCACACTGGTCTACCACCCATCAACAGTCTACACCATCACACTGTCTCCACTTCCTGCAACCCTCACACTGTCTCACTATCCTCAACACTTAAGTTCCCACCCATCACACTGTCTCCACCCATCACACTGTCTCCACCCATCACACTGTCTCCACCCATCACACTGTCTCCACCCATCACACTGTCTCCACCCATCACACTGTCTCCACCCATCACACTGTCTCCACCCATCACACTGTCTCCACCCATCCCTGTCTCACCATCACACTGTCTCCACCCATCACACTGTCTCCACCCATCACACTGTCTCCAACCATCACACTGTCTCCACCCATCACACATCCGAGGATGAAGTAAAGAGGAGAGGAGGCGCTATGTGTACCCTTAACAACAATATTCAATACACTTATCGAAACAGTGAGATTGCCGAGCATCGAGACAGCACAATGTCAGTCCCCAATTTTAAAATAAGTGCGAAGGACATGAAGCACTAAACTACAGAACCATGTCACTGCATGTATAGTATGCAAAGTCTCGAGAAGATTGTCAGGAAGAAGAAGGATTGATCTTCATCAACATCAGCCAACATTGTTCAGGACGGGAAATCCATCTTTCACAAAACCTACTGGAGCACTAACTGACAGGTGCACAGTAGGACAATAGAGCAGAAGTGTGGGTATATTGTTCTTGGACGAAGAAGGCGTTGGACACAGTTCCACACAAGGGATTTAGTGCAAAACTACTGAGGACCAATGCAGGGATAACAGGAGAAGCACTACAGATGCGATACAATAAGTGTAGCAGGTGGCCTCGAGACGTTCATTGCAAACTACAGCACACATAAGGGGATTACCAACAGACCCCTGGCAGTCTTCAACTGGCACTTGGACAAGCACACTAAAGTCAGATCCTGATTCAAGCCTGGGCCTGTGCTCGTACCCGTTGGTTTGCGTGCAGCCAGCAGCAACAGCCTGGTTGATCAGGCTCTGATCCACCAGGAGGCCTGGTCACAGACCGGGCCGCGGGGGCGTTGACCCCCGGAACTCTCTCCAGGTAAACTCCAAGTAAACAGTGGATCAGGGAATAGTTGTCAGGAAGACAGCAGCTAGTCATGGTACGTGGCGAGGTGTCAGAGTTGGCGCCTGTGACCAGCGGGGTCCCACAGGTGTCAGTCCTAGGACCAGTGCTGCTTCTGGTATTTGTGAACGACATGGCGGAAGGAATAGACTCCGAAGTGTCCCTGTTTGCAGATGACGTGAAGTTGATGAGAATAATTCATTCGATTGTAGACCAGGCAGAACTACAAAGGGATCTGGACAGGCTGCAGACCTGGTCAAGCAACTGGCTCCTGGAGTTCAACCCCACCAAGTGCAAAGTCATGAAGATTGGGGAAGGGCAAAGAAGACCGCAGACGGAGTACAGTCTAGGGGGCCAGAGACTACAAACCTCACTCAAGGAAAAAGATCTTGGGGTCAGTATAACACCAGGCACATCTCCTGAGGTACACATCAACCTAATAACTGCTGCAGCATATGGGCGTCTAGCAAACCTCAGAACAACATTCCGACATCTTAATAAGGAATCGTTCAGGACCCTGTACACCGTGTACGTTAGGCCCATATTGGAGTATGCGGCACCAGTTTGGAACCCACACCTAGCCAAGCACGTACAGAAACTAGAGAAAGTGCAAAGGTTTGCAACAAGATTAGTCCCGGAGCTAAGGGATATGTTCTGCGAGGAGAGGTTAAGGGAAATCGACCTGACGACACTGGAGGACAGGAGAGATAGGGGGGGACATGATAAGTACATACAAAATACTGAGTGGAATTGACAAGGTGGACAAAGACAGGATGTTCCAGAGATGGGACACAGCAACAAGGGGACACAGTTGGAAGTTGAAGACACAGATGAATCACAGAGATGTTAGGAAGTATTTCTTCAGCCACAGAGTAGTTAGGAAGTGGAATAGTTTGGGAAGCTATGTAGTGGAGGCAGGACCCATACATAGCTTTAAGCAGAGGTATAATAAAACTCACGGTTCAGGGAGAGTGACCTAGTAGCGACCAGTGAAGAGGCGGGGCCAAGAGCTAGGACTCGACTTCTGCAACCTCAACTAGGTGAGTACAACTAGGTGAGTACACCTACACCTACACACACACACCTACACACCTACACATACACCCACACATACACATACACACCTACACACCTACCCCCACACATACACATACACACCGACACTCCTACACCTATACCTACACATACACACCTACACACCTATACCTACATCTACGTATACACATGCACACCTACACACCTACACCTACACATACACATACACACCTACACACCTACACATACACATACGCACCTACACACACCTACGCATACACACTTACACGTACACTCCTACACCTACACTCCTACACCTACACATACACATGCACACCTACACACCTACACACATACACATGCACACCTACACACCTACACACCTACAGATACACACCTACACCTATGCATTTACACACTTGACTCTCTTCACTCTCGTCGAGGTTCCAGTCACTGTTTTTGTGTGAAAGTTTTAAGCTCCACCACTGAAGGTTATGTAAGTTATCCCAGCCATTATGGGATGCTGGGAATGTGTTTAATAACTGTGGTCATAGTGCACGTACACATGCCAATTGTTTCTAGAATTTGGTCCTCGTTACCTTACACAAGTGTTGAAAATGTAAAGCCGATTGGATGAAACGTTCTCGAGTTATGAGCGAAACAAAACAGAAAAGTTGGTGGGAGAAATAACAATTAGGGAATCTGATTACTGTGGCAATTACTTACATATAATTACACTGACATATAAACATGTATAATTACTCTGGAATATAATTATATGTTCTCACTGTTATATATTTACGATTAGCCTGTTTATCTGTTTGTGTGTGTGTTGTGTGTGTCGTGTGGTGTGTGTGTACTCACCCATTTGTACTCACCTATTTTTAGTTGTAGGGGTCTAGTCTTAGCTCCTGGCCCCGCCTCTTCACTGGTTACTACTGGGTCCTCTCTCTCCCTGCTCCATGAGCTTTATCAAACCTCGTCTTAAAACTGTGTATGGTTCCTGCCTCCACTACGTCACTTTCTAGGCTATTCCACTGCCTGACAACTCTATGACTGAAGAAATACTTCCTAACATCCTTTGACTCATCTGAGTTTTCAACTTAAAATTTTGACCTCCTGTTTCTGTGTCCTCTCTCAGGAACATCCTGTCTCTGTCCACCTTGTCTATTCCACGCAGTATTTTGTATGTCGTTTTCATGTCTCCCCTGACCCTCCTGTCCTCCAGTGTCGTCAGTCTGATTTCCCTCAACCTTTCTTCGTAGGACATACCCCTGAGCTCCGGAACTAGCCTTGTTGCAAACCTTTGTACTTTCTCTAACTTCTTGACTTGCTTGACCAGGTGCG